ATATCTAGTCTCTCCCCATTTGTTTATACATTTGGTTTTAAATAGAAATATATTCCACAAACCCTTATCTGCAATTCCAAAATGCAAGTAACTTTGGAAATTGAGCATTTTCTCCTCAGTGTGGGGCCTAACCTCATTGGATGACAAAATCTGTTGTGAACTGACACTTTATTTATGGTATTTATTTATTCCACATTGGAAAATGATCATACGTTTTGCTGTAGAGATATTAATGTGTTAAATTATAGGATACTGCCTCAATTCTCTGGAAGTGTTAGGAAACATATGGTATATGCAGCTTATCATCTTTCTAAAATCTGAAAAATTCAAGTGCCTCACTTGTTTTGAATAAAGGAATTTGCACCTGTATTTTTTTTATCTTAAGGATATATCCTCTCTATCCTCATAGGTGTTGAATTTATCAAATGGACTAAACTGTACATATGTTGAAAATATTATGGCTTATTTTATTTAGCCTACTGATGTGGTCTGTTGGCTGACAATAATCACCAAAGGCAAACTGACATCAACCTCAATAAATCTAAACTTTTGCGAACACTCCTCATTCAAACAGTACTACCATATCACCCAAATCAGTGCTAATTCAACCAGCTACTGGCTTTGGTGGTTTTTCAACTAACAGTACAGCATGTCAATAACGTTTATGCATATACTTAGTTTTCCTTTTTTCAAAATAGGGTTTACTACAATGTCTATGGCATATGATTTTGCTCAAAATTAAGTTTTTACTTGAAGGGCATTTGCAGATATTCTTTTATTCTCTACCTCTCCTCATTACTGCATCATTTTCTTCTGGCTTGGTCACTTCTTCATGACTTCCTCGTTATCTTTTCCATTCCTGGAGCACTGAGTTTTGTTTCTATCATGAGATCAGTGAGGCTTATGAACAGCACACTGATCCAGACAATGATAACTGCCCAATCATACTGATTTGGTTCTGATTATTTAAATTTTGTTTCCTCCCTATTATTTATGAGAATTTGTCTTAAACTCAGACTCTCAAAAGTCCTTCTCTTACATCTCCAATATTCCCACAAATAATTCCTCTCCAGTGTCAACAGATTCAGATTCAACAAATATTTCTTGAACACTAGCTAACACTTTTTGAGAAACACTATGTTCCAGGTGCTGTTCTAAGAAATTGCCATTCACATATTCATTTACCATTCACAACTGTGTGAGATGGGTATTGAAATTATTCCTATTTTACAGATAAGAAAACGGAGGCACAGAGAGGTTAAATAATTTTCCCAATGTCACGTAGTTGAACACAAGCAGTGTGACTATGGAGCCCACATTATTAACCTCTATTCACGCTACTTGTTATGGACTGAGTACTGCGCCAAACAGTATTCACAAACTTTGTTTATTTAATTCCTAAAACACTTGTAATATATGTTATTATCATTTCATAGAAAATAAATTGATATATAGCAAAACCCTAGATTAAACAAAATATCAACTGCAGATGTGGAGCTAAAATGCAGAAACCCTAACATTCAATTCAGTGCTCCTCCTATGATGTCATGGAATTAAGCGATATTGCCCCTATGGGCTCAGGAGTTAAAGGAAGAAACAGTCTAGTGTTGTTAGTATATGAATTCCATTTTATAGATTAGGATATCTAGGGCTCATAGAGGTGAAGTAAATTGCCCAAGATTATGTGACTGAGCTAAGATATAAACCCAGATTGTCCTGGCCTAAAGCTGAGGCTTTCCTTTGAGCGGGAATGTGGCATGATAGAAAGAAGTGGAGGCTGACAAGGAAGGAGAAGGCCAGGGGAGAAACTGTGAGGTTGTAGGGGTATTGTGAAACTCTCTCCTTCATGTGACTTTCCTGATAAACTTAAATTTCCTAAGTGTCCCAAACATACACTTTCCTGTCCCTTGCCCCAGTCTTTTTTTTTCTCTTGTATCTCTTTTGGTCTCTTGGGCTCCACTTCAGAGCTATGCCAAAGCATCAGAAGGAGGAGGGAAAATGGGAACTACAGGAGAGAGGTGCAAGATAAAAGGATCTTTCCTGGTTTGGCAGGTTCTCTGATCATGGGAGGAAGAGAAAGTGGAGTCTCTGTCGCATTTCTCTTTGTGCTGATGTTTCAACTTTCTTTTATATACACTCGCTAAGTCTTTTCCTAACAAGCCTGGTCATCTCAGGAGGACCCTGAGTCAAAGAGATCTGAATATAGTGAGTGGATTCTGTTATCTACTGCATTCTTCTTCAAGTAGTAAATTCTCTCAATGTTTTCTTTCTGTCCAAAACATTTGTCTTTCTATTCCTCTCTACACCTGATAAAACTCAAACTCCTATAAACATTTTCCAATCTAATCTGTTCTATTGAGACTTATACCAATATCACATTCTTCATCTTTTCCACTCATAGCTAATCTCTATTTATTCGTACTCTGCCTGCACTCTCTACAGCTTTTGTGATTTTCTATTCCTAGTCTATCCTTTCTATATTATAGCTGTCATCACCTAATCTTCTTTCATTGGATCTGTTGTCTATATAACAAATTTATCCTGCCCAACTATCATTCATTTTATACATGGAAGGTCCAATCTCTCTGCACTTAATCTAATTTTACCATGTTTTATCTGGTCCCTGTGGATCTTGCTCACTGTTCTACATTCAATGTCTGTTTTCCTTACATATTATTCCAAATTTATTACACATTATTTCAAATTTCCTGGTAATTCATTTAAATTCTCTACTTCTGATCAATTCTGCCCAGCTCCTTTTTACATTCAGCCTTCTTTATATTTCATTCCTATAACCTGCAATTCATGTCTTCTGCCCATATCACACCTTTCTCCATTTTATCATCCATCTACACATCCATACAACCATTATCATGCCTTTAACTAATTGGTTATTAAAGCAGACCCCCATTATAGGAACTACGCTTAAAAGGAGAGACAGAAATACTAGTAAATAATCTATGTTTGTAGAAATACAGGTAGTTTGGAGAGTGATAACTAATGAACTGAAATGTGAAAGATAAGAATTCCTAGGAGCAGGAGTGGATGTTTTTGATAGAAGAGCACTTGCAAATCATAGACTTAGGGAACGTGATGATTTGTTTATAAAAAGGAAAATAGTGGGCAATGATTTAATTGTTTTAGGATAGTTAAAAGGAAATTCATTTTGATGCTTGCTTGGGGGATTTTGTCTGTATTCTCCAAAATCAGATACTCTTGGGGTCAGTGATGCGGTCAGATTTCTAAATAAAATTTCATTCTAGAAGCAAGTGCACTTAGAGTGATGAGGGTTGAGTAAGTGATGAGAGGGAGGAAGAAAGACCAGGTTATAGGCTATTGAAACAGTTTAAATCAAGAAATACCATGGACCCAGTTGGTATAAAGGACTAGGGTCAAGGTACTAGAAATAGGACAGGAAAAAGGATACAGACATGAGGGATAACTTAAGAGAAAGTTTAGGTAGGACTTGTATTATTTGTGAGTGGGATGTGGGGTTGGGGTCAGGAGTATTGGTGTAGAAGATCTAGGAAACTTCCAGATCTCTGTTATAGGTGACTGCATGAAAACTAATGCAATTCATTGTGATAGAGGAATAACAGATTCAGAAAAGACCTTTCTAGACATATTGTATTTGAGGGACCCAGGTGATATCAAGGGAATCATATCCACCCTTTGCTATCCCATTAAAGCTGTATGGGGCCACTCAGGCACATAGTTCCTCCTTTACAGTTACCTGAGCAATAGCAGTAATATAGCTAGTAAAATGATATACAGGTTTTTACAGCCTCTAATGGGAAGAGTAATGAGAGGAGCCCCATCAAACCAATGAAAGGGAAAGGAAAGAAAAAAGGATAATTAAGATTTCTATGAGGAGATGATACATGAGCCAGGACTTGAAGGCTAACTAGGAGTTAGCCATGCTCATGGAAATTGCGGCATGAGCAAAGCCACAGAGGTGATACACATGCGGTATGCCAAGAGCTGCAGGTTATAAAATACAGTGTAGGCGGTGGCAAGAGATATAGTTTTGGTGATAGAAGTGGCAGATTGTGAAGTACTCATATATCTTGTTAAATAGCTTGAACATTATTGTGTAGGCGATGGGGTACTATGGAAGGGTTTTAAGTAGAGGAGTGAAATGGTCAGATTTGAGTTTTATGGGAGAGACTATAGGCAGTGAGACCAATTAGGAGTCCACGTGTGAGAAGCTAATCTTTTTTTTCAAGTGGACAGAGCATCAAACATGAAGATAGAGAAGATTAAAGGACACACAGGAAGGTCTGGAGGCAAGAGGGTCAAATGCACAATGAATGGCACATGTGGCAAGTAAGGATCAAGGCTGAGGTTAGGAATGACAATCGTAATTTTGAAGTTCCCATTTATGAAGCTAGAATATAGTATTGGGATAGGCTGGCAGCTTAAACTTTCAGGGATGAGAAGATGAAGATATGCCCCTACCACTAGATTATGAGCTCCTTGAAGACTTAGTACATGTCATTTACCTTTGCATGTACTGCAGCTCTTAGCCTGTGGTCTGGAACATAGTTGATCCACCACAAATTTTGAAATAAATAAATTGGAGGTGCAGATGGTAAGGGTGGGAGTGATGGGAAATGCAAGCCAGTGAATTTGGGCATTTTGTAGTTGTATTAAAGCACTCTAGTATTGAGAAAAATGCCTAGGGCTCAAGTACTGAGTAATACTCAAGTATTGATCACAGAGCATAAAGAGAAGAGAAACTCAGGTATAAAATCATTAGCAGGTTTGATGTTTTTAGATTCCATACATAAGTAAAATATACAGTATTTGTCTTTCTCTTTGTGGCTTATTTCAATTAACATAATGACAAAAAGCTGCATCAATGTTGTTGCAAATGGCAGGATTTCCTTCCTTTTCTATGGCTGAATAATATTGCATTGGGGGTGTGTGTGTATATATATATATATATACACCACATTTTCTTTATCCATTCATCCATTAATGGACACTTAGGTTGTTTCCAAGTCTTCTCTACTAGGAGAAAGAGAAAGTAGAATGATGGTTGTCAGGGGCTTGGGGATGGGGAAAATGAAGGATGTTGGTCAAAGGGTACAAATTTTCAGTTATAAGATGAATGAAGTTCTGGGGATCTAATGTACAGCATGGCGACTATAGTTAACAGTACTGTATTGCGTACTTGAAGGTACCATGAGAGTGGAGCTTTGATCTTTTCACCATAACAACAACAACAAAATGGTAATTTTGTGAGGTAAAGGATGTGTTACCTAAACTTATTGTGGTAAACATGTCACAATATATACCTGTGTCAAATCATCATGTTGTACACCTTAAACTTATACAATGCTATATGTCAATTATATCTCAATAAAGCTGGAAAAAAATCGTTAGCAGGTTGAAGTTTGGTGTGTGAGCACATTCTGCCTCTGCTAACCTCACAGGAACAGGCCAAAGACTAAAAAGTAGGGACTCCCCTGAGGGGAAACAGTACCCAGGTGTTCAGCTGATTCAACCCCATTCTCCTTTCTAATCTCTACACTCCCTTCCAAGGCTATGAGCATACATGGACACTAGGGTGACAGAACCCTTTCTTCATACCAGCTCTCATGTGGCTATGCCAACTTCTGTTCCACATCAGATCAAGAAAAGGCTTGAAGTTTGCAAAGGGAAAATTTTATTTTTGATACTAAGGTAAACAAAAAGAGTACTCTGCTAAATGTACGCTTTTATATTGATCTTGACACTATCAAAGTTATTAAACAAGGATGACACTAGACTGAGGTGGCTCTCATACCTTGGTAGCCTACATAGGAAAGGAAACCAAAACTTAACCCAGAATCATTTGTAAATGCACTCATGTCTGAGAAAATGAAATTTAAGAACAACCAATCACAGCCAGCCAACTACGCTTTCCCAAATAAGGCAGCCCCTGAAGCTACAGCCAGACAACTAACGTCCTTGCGTGCTTCCATGTCCGCTCTATAAAAGCCTTGCCCCTAGTTTCTTTCAGTAGATGCACCCAACCACTTTCAGCTAGGTGCTGCCTGATTTGAATTGATGTTTGCTCAAACGAACTCTTGAAAATTTTAACGTGCCTCAGTTTAGCTTTTAACACTATTAAAGGAAGGTATTTTACTGTCATTCTCAGAGAGTTAGCACAACTTTCATAACTGGTGGGATTCTCAGTTCTTCTGTTGTCCAGAATCCAGTTCCTAATATGATTACCAGGTGGGTCCCAGGCCCTCCTCTTAAGTACTAGCATGCAGAACTTTCATTCTACAGCTGCTTTCTACTTTGTTCCCTCTTCCTTGCAGGAGGCAATTGCTTCTCTAGCCGAGCCCCAAAGATTCCCTCTCCTGGATGTAAATCTAGGATGTATCTTATAGCCCCTCCTTCATGTTGCCTGAATATTTTCTAAGCTCTGAGGTCCTGATTTCCTGGTTCCATCTCTTAATATCTGTGTGACCTGGAACAAGTCACTTAATCTATGCCTTAGTGTCCTTAGGTGTCAAGTGGCATTAATAATGGTACTAACTCACAAGGTTCTTCTGAAGATTAAGTGAACTAATATCTGCAAATTTTTTTTAGAACAATGCCTGTATTAATAACACATAGTAAATACTCCATTGTGTTATATGTAATTGTTATTCCTCCATTGTGTTACATATCTCCTCCAAAGAGAGTCATGATCCAGCTCATAGACAAACTCTCAAGTTAGGGCAGCCCAGATTTTCTTACTATTTTGGTTTTCTTTCTATGTTCTTCAGGGACCAACTAGTGTCATTTTTACCTAGTGCTTATCAATATGTGCTTCTCTAAGAACAAGAACATACTCTTTTCTATCCCCAATACAACACAATTTATTTCTGACTGCCTTTGCCTTAGCTCATTTCCAGATTACAGAAGAAAGCAACGGCCACAGCTCAGTGATGAATTACATGCACTACATACGCTGCATTCTACGAACATAAACCCACTAAAAGAAAGGCTGGGTTCTTGCTGCTGCCTTCTGAAGTCTTTCTATTCTCCCTCCTGAAGAACAGTGGGTAAGACTGACTCCATGGAGCAGAGGAACCAGAGTGGGAGAGTAAGTGAGTTCGTGTTGCTGGGCTTCCCAGCTCCTGTGCCACTGCGAACGCTATTGTTTGCCCTTTCTCTTCTGGCCTATGTGTTGGTGCTGACTGAGAACACACTCGTCATTATGGCAGTTAGAAACCATCCCACCCTTCACAAACCCATGTACTTCTTTCTGGCTAATATGTCTTTCCTGGAGATCTGGTATGTAACTGTCACTATTCCCAAGATGCTAGCTGGTTTTACTGGGTCCAAACAGGGCCATGGACAGCTAATCTCCTTTGAGGGCTGCATGACACAGCTCTACTTTTTCCTGGGCCTGGGCTGCACTGAGTGTGTCCTTCTTGCCGTTATGGCATATGATCGCTATGTAGCCATCTGCCATCCTCTCCACTACCCTGTTATTGTCAGTGGCCGGCTATGTGTTCAGCTGGCAACTGGCTCCTGGGCTGGAGGTTTTGGCATCTCCATGGTCAAAGTTTTTCTCATTTCTCGCCTCTCTTACTGTGGCCCCAACATCATCAACCACTTTTTCTGTGATGTCTCTCCATTGCTCAACCTTTCGTGCACTGACATGTCCACAGCAGAGCTTACAGACTTTGTTCTGGCCATTTTTATCCTACTGGGGCCACTGTCTGTCACTGGTGCCTCCTACATGGCCATCACTCATGCTGTGATGCACATTCCCTCAGCTGCTGGGCGCCATAAAGCCTTTTCCACCTGTGCCTCTCACCTCACTGTTGTGGTCATCTTCTATGCAGCTAGTATCTTCATCTATGCCCGGCCAAAGGCACTCTCTGCTTTTGACACCAACAAGCTGGTCTCTGTACTTTATGCTGTCATTGTACCATTACTCAACCCCATCATTTACTGCTTGCGCAACCAAGAGGTCAAGAGAGCCCTACGCCGTACTCTGCACCTGTACCAGGGCCAGGATGCTAAGCCTGGGAAAATTAGCAGAGATGGGTAGAAGGGAGGTGTTAAGTCTTAGAAACTGTTCTTAAACTTGGGATCTAGTTCTTCTATGAAGTCCAGAGGAGCTCTTAGGGCCTAAATTAGGGACTAGAGTTTCAAAGTCACCAACAAAGAACTATTTCAAGAGAAGGAAAAGGGATGGATAGCAACCTGGCAGCTAGCAGCTGAATTTCGCCAGGACAGGGCTATAAAATACAGGCTAAAAGTAGGTTCCGTGTTGTCCGCTCTATTGTAATTTGCACAGAGTAGGTTCATGAATCACGCTTCCTGGTGGAGTGGAAAGGACTGACTTTGAGCAGAAGACATAACTGCACTTGAATATTTAAACAAGCCAACAAAGGTAGAACTAAGGTCTCTCTAAAAGGCTCCTCCTAGGTTTGCTCCTGGGTTTTTGTTCTGAGGCAGAAGGTGTAGAAAAAGGAGGCAGAAGGAGAAAACCATTCAAGGAAGCACAGGCTTCATAATGGAAAAGCATCGGGAGACCTCTGGATGAGATCCCTTCTAGCCACAGGCCATGATTATAGCTCATGAGGTAACAGCGGGCCAGGAGGCAATCGTTCTAGTGTGAGTTACAAGGTAAGGAGACAAGAAACTGAGAATTTTTGTGTTGGCAAAATATCATCTCTTGGGCCACAGAGCCTTCTAGCTTCATGTCCTGATTTCCCGAGGTCAGTTCCCACATTGAACTAATGGCCAAATGCAGTTGTGCATTTAATCTTCTGCCTCCCTATTTAGACTGTAAGCTCCATGGAGGCAGGGATCACATTTGCTTTTTCATCATTTTATTACCGTGTCCCAGAATTGTATCTAACACCTGGGGGCTATGAAGAAACATAATAAGCGAATATAATTTGGAGCCATGTTGGCAAGGCCTGTGTGTCACCCCTGTAGATAGGGTTGACAGGTGCAGAAACTAGACCCCTCCTACTTCCCCTGAGTACCGGGAGATACAAATTGGCTCAGACTTGCTGGAAGGAAATTTGGCAATATGTATTATAGATACTAAAAGTATTGAAAACATTCTGATTGAGAAATATTTGTATAGATAGACATTTTTGTTTTCAACAAGAATATGGAAATATGTTAAACTTCCACAAATATAAGATTAATTAAATAAATTAAAGCTTATACATTAAATGGAATATTATGCAGATCTTAAAATAACATGATGTAAATAAAGCTAGTGACAGAAAAATATTCCTAATGTAATAAATGTCAAGATTAGGTCATGTAATCGTATCAAAAGTGTATGTCTTATGTATTTGTTTGTTTAAATAAGACTAGAGGGAATTTGACTAGAACATTAGCTGTAACTATGCAATGGAGCCCTTATTCTTCTGAATTGCATTCTGTGGCAAAGATATTGTTACCAACATATTTATTTAAATAAACATTTCTTAGCCAATAAAATACACAGCTTTATTCATCTGGACAGAGAGATGATTAGAGGGTACGTCAGTAGGATTTTCAGAAATTTAGCTCCCCAAAGATACCCAAGACCCAGAATCCTGAGGACAACAGCCTACATGAAGCTTCTCTCTCTCCAGGTGTGGGAGCCTTCTGTTGTTGCAACTTGTCTGTCTATAGTTGTCTGCTGCTAATAAAGCATATGGAAGCCTACTACAAGGATATCAGGCATTATTTGCTAGTCCCTACATATTAAAAGTTCTAATATAATATTAATATCTATTTGTGTCAAAACAGTTATATAACCTTATGAGTATCTTATCATTATAATTTATAAATGGCTAGATATAAAGTTTATAAAAAGTCTATCTCCAAAATGTCCCCATAGAATAACTTTCTGAAAGGGCTAGTGGTCTGGGATGGGAGCATCCTCCTGTGGGCCTCACTATTGTAGCATTATAGGAACCTCCTTATGGGTTAACTCCAGCTAATAGGAGGTAACGGCATGATGTGGATTTCTTTCATTCTTCTTTTTTTAAATTTCAAAACTTTTTACAATAAAATGTATTTTTTTTTTAGTTTAACAAAACGCTTGTAATTCTGACTTCAAAATTTGAAACGAAATACTTCAGGTATATGAAGAGTATTTAGCACAGTGTCCTGCATATATTGAACTTTCAATAAGAATGAATGAGAAGATGTTTGAATGCATATGAACTATGGTGGGATTGACGCCTCTCTGGACTTGGACTGCATTTTCAAAGTCATATGATCCTCATGGCTCATATGGAATTGTCACAAAACCTAAGATTTTTCAAATGAACTGTTAATTATCAGATTAAGTATTCCTCATTCTCCAATGACATAATTCCTTTTTCCCCCTAAACCTAGATAGAGGATTTTATTTTATCTCTGTTACATTTGATCCTGTTTGTTTTAAACCATCTTTATAGTCTACCAGTCTCTCAAACTATTGCATAGATAATGTGACTCTTTTGTAACTCCCTTTTGCCAGGGTAGTGTCGTAGTGTCTGGAGGAAGTCTCCAGTCTCTTCCATCATTACAGGAGTTGGGAGTATGAGATCCACACTGGGTCTTTCGGAAAGGAGAGATACCCAGCGTGGCCAGGCCAAGACAATTAACATCTCCAGAGCAAGGGAGGATCAAAGTAGAAGCTTCTGTGCTTAAACCATCTCCTTGTTCCCATCGACTTTCAATACACTCCAAGTTTCTTAGTCTGCCTTTCAAGTTTCTTCACAATATGGTCTGAGGTTTCCTTTTGGTTTTTATTTTAATTTCCTCCCCACTACCTTGTACTCACCTTGTGCAGGTGAATTTTAGATTGTCATTAACATTTTTTTTACTTGAACTTAATAATCCAATATCTTTTACCATTTGCTAACATTTCACATTGAACAGTCGGAAAACATCCAAAAACCCTTTGGGTAAAAGAGCATTTTAAAAAATAGCATTCTTCTGTAGTCTTAAAAACCTTATTTTGCTTCATTAAAAAACCCTTACAGTTTACAAGTAAAGACTGAGAAACTGTCAAATCAGAGGAGACTAAAGAGAAAAGATACCTAAATGGAATTTTGCATCTTAGATTGGATCCTAGAATATAAAAAGGATATGGAAAAACCACTAAAATCTTAATAAAACCTTGAGTTTAGTTAAAAGTAATGTACCAATTTAGATTCTTAGTTTTGAAAATCTCCAGGTAACGTAAGATGATAATATTAGAGGAAAGTGAAATCCTGTGAGGGGAATATGAGAGGTCTCTTCAGTATCTTTAAAACTTTTCTGTAAATCTAAAATTATTACAAAATAAAAGTTTATTTAAAAAAGAAATGTATTGGTCTTTTTATCCTAAATAATGTAATACAATTTGATTGATTCCAGGTGACTTTATAATAATAATAATAATAATAATAATAATAATAAGCAAACTGCCCCTTTTTGCTTATGGTGATATGTATAGAAAACACTTGGTATTTATGTCTATACTGAGAAATCTTTTTTTCAAATTTTCCTGGATTTTTAATTCTCATGAAACACATGCATTGTTGCTATTTTAATTTGCTGAGTGATAAGAGAAAGTGAAAATAAAGTATAATTGACACATAGTTATTGATTTATGCCTTTGGTAACTCTAACCAACTATACCGGCTCTTCCAGATATCACCATTTGGTGCAGGTGAGCAGGAGTGAACAGTTTCAGGCAGTGCAGAGAAGAGAGGGCTTAGAGCACAGGTTTTCTCATTTTCTCTTAAAGTCTTTCCCTTGGGGGTATCATCTAGCCTTATTTTCAAGTTCCATAGCCTCATTTCATGATGACCAGTGGTTCAACGTTCCAAGAATTAGTGTCAACTCACCACATGCCTTTAGACAAAGCATGTGAATGGGTGAAATATGGGAGGCTTAGGTCCATCCTTCTCCATCAAATTCCAGTCACACATTGACCCTTAGATCCTTTCTAGGATCTGGATTTTCTCTGGGATTTCTCATTTGTTCAGATCTCTGCTTCACTTCCTTCAGCCACCTTTGCATACTCACAGAGACAGAAATGTATCTCCTGGCTCTTCATTCTTGCAAAACTTCTAGGACTTGATTCTTGATTTTGTGGTTACTGAGGTACAATTAAGAGCAGACTCCGTGAGCCCACTAGCCTGAGGACAACTTGCCAGACAGAAGGAGTTGACACTTTACACTGTCCTTAGCATGCAGGGCACACTTCACAAATGTTCAGTAAGTGACAGAACGATTCCTATAGTCCAAGGCAGTGGGTGTGACCTCAAGTCACTGCAGAGGCCTCATTATTTCAATGTCTCAACTCTTGCTGTCATTACTCTACATCTTTTTCTGTGCTAGTCTCTCTGAAGCCAAAGCCCTACTCACCTCATTGCCACTGATCAAATCGTGGCTGTGGTTCATATTCCATGCAGGTAATATTTTACATTTGTGTAGTTATCACGAAGCAGTTTTAGAATTGCTTTCATATACGTATTACTTTTGAGCCTAACATCAATGACAGGATACAGACAAGGGAATCATTGTTACTCCATTTTATGGATAAACAAACTGAAGAATAAAGGCAATTTTCTGAAATCAAATGTCTTAAAAATGGTGGAAACTAAGATTAGGAACCTTGTCTTCTCACTGCTGAATCAACACTATTTCCCTTGCCACTACTTCCATGCTAAATTCTTCCTTTATGTCTAGAATGACACTTTTGATGAAACCTTTCTAGTTTCCTCAGTCAGAAATCATTTCTCCCTCTTTGGAGTTCCTAGAGCACTTTGTTTGCACATCTCTAATAGCTCGTGTCACATTCTACCCTCATTATAGCGCATACTTCTTATTTTACTTACAACACTGTAGGTTCCAAGAGGGTAGAGATCATGACCTAAAAATGTTTCTTCCAAATAATCTATAGCACTGTGCCCTGTACATAATAAGAGCTCAAGGCAGAAAATATTTTATATAAAGAATAAACAAATGCATATCTCTATTACCTTATTAACCCACTTAGATTTCTTCTCCTGGTTTCCGAGTAATTTGGTGTTGCTTTACCTTACATACAGGACTAAAAGGAAATGACCATATCATACGCACAGGTATAGATAAACATGGTTCAGGTATAAGCAGGAATTGACAAGTGGATGGAGATTCATCTTCTTTGTCCCCTGGACATAGTTTGACAGTACGCACAGCGTTTCCCCAGAGCAGGACAGACCAAGTGCAAATGAGTCTCCTGGGAAGAAGACAAGGGCAAAATATAGGTGAGTGTTAAATGTACTCTCCTGTCCTGCTCCAGTCTTCTTGTCTTAGTGCTTCAATACCTACTACACAGTCTAAGCAGAGACCAGACTTGGATCTCCAGGAAGTAAGAAAATCTGCAGATCACTCTGCTTCCTGTGATACATGCAAATATCTGAAGGATTTTCCGTTTTCAGGAGAGAAGAAATGGATCATGGTGAGTAGCTGGAGTTACCAAGAGAGATTGATTGATCCCTGAAGGAAGGTCCAAGGAAGATGAGGAGGGACTTGGGAAAATGGTAGGACATATCATTCCTGGACAAGAGAAAGGGTGTTAGGGAAAATGACTAGATAAATGAAGATTCAGGGCACACAGCATGGTTATCCAAGGTTGGGGGAATTTGGATGGTTGTGAGGTCATTCAGGTTTGGGGACAGGGTACAAAGGACCCTTCTAGAAGTCTGTCAGTGTCAGTATCGTCTTTGAGAAGAAGCACAAGGACTGAAAATTATACTGTAATACGATGAAAGGATTTCTTTCCTTGGATACTGTAGAGAGCCCAAAGCTCAGGGTTCTCAGTTCTGAAAGCCAGAAAAATAGAACTCCACATCTTTTAATGTTTCAAAATAGAGCCTGTTGGGAGGTAGATTTGCAGCAAAGAATATGGAAGAGAATATGCAATAGTAAGCATGTGCTTGAATATACGGAAACAATACTTTAAAGAGAAGATACAGTTCTGAGTGATCTGCAACTCAGAGCTCTTCAAAGGTGCTACAATCCTATACTGAAGGAAAGTTGAATTATTTTATTCCATAGAATATGACAGAAAAAGTGAGCAAAAGAGAGAGAATGAAGGACCGAGTGTGTTTATGAGTCGGTATGAGTGAAATATGTGAACACTCATAACTGATTAAACATGGATAGGTGTTATGCAACATAATTTATAGCAGCTAGTGCTTGGTCCATACCAATTGGTCAAGTCCTGTGTTAAGTGCTCTCCATGGAATATAAATTTAATTCTCACAACACAATCTAGTAAAGTAGGCATTATTATTATTATTCCTGTTTTACAAAAGATGGTATGGAAGTACATACTTGACAAGTGATTTGTGCGGTATAACACAACTCCTAGGTAATGAAATCAATACTGAAATCTTTCCTCTAAAAATCAGTGCTCTAAACCAGTATGTAAAGGTGAATGTGCAGTAAATAGTGTGGCTGATGATGGAAATGAGGAATGTTATACATATCCTGAAGAGTAGGAGCTGCTACGTTGGTGCTACTTCCTACGAGGGCTATAACGTATTCTCTGCTCCAAGAAACAGATACTTTTCACCAGCAAAAGGATTTTATCAAATGCATTGAGGAACTAGGCAAAGAACTCTAGTAAACTACCTCACAGGTGAAAGTGGAAGTATGTGGCTTAGAGTAAGAGACAGTCTCTTCCCACTGATTAAGCCTCACTGAGTTCTGCCCATGTGTGTTGTTATGGAAAGGAGGTGATGGAGTCAATAATATGCATTTCAGTACCTCATCCTTTAGTCCTTTGCTATGAGCCACATCCAGAAGATCTCTAGTCCTGTGGAATATCAGAGTGAACCCTGATTGTCCTCCTACCCTCTTTGTGCCAAGTGAACAGTATATTAGAGAAATAGTTGGCAGAAAGAGTGAGTAATGGACTGAAGGCAGGACCTTAATTCAGGCTTCATGGATTAGAGAAGCATTTAATGAAGATAAACAGTCACTGATGTGTTTTCAAGAGATGACTCTGTGGTAACCTACTTCCTTAACCACAGATTAGAATTCTTGGAATAGCTCACAAATAATTCTGCCTTGCAGTCTTGCAAGACCCATCTATCTAAGTACAGCACTCCCCTTCCTCTGCTCCCCTCTCTGGTCCAGAACCTGAGACAATGACTGATATTTCGAGAACCTGACCTACCAACTAATTTTAGACCAGAGATCATATCCAATGTTCTCAGACCTTGTGGATATGTTTATCATGAAAGTACCCCATGTGTGCAAGCTGAGGGTGTGTCCACAGATGTGTAACCTTGATAGATAGGTGCTTCCTACCAGCAAAGACCCTGAGATCACACTTCTCTGCCCTTGACCTATTTCTTGTGGATTCCAAAGCTCCAAGGGATTCATTAATTCACTTTTTAATCCATATCCATTAAATATTCATGTATTTTCCAGTCACTGTCCTGGGCATGGGGTTCACAGTCATGAAGGACAGAGTCTTGAGATTTGGAAAGTTGAAGTGCAGTGAAAAGAAACCTAAATGCATGAGGGGGGTGTGCACTAGGAACGAATGCTATTGAGGCACTTGACCCCGCTTTGGTGAGATGCCTCCTAAGTGGAATCTTGAAACTTGAATCAGCAGCTAAAGATTTTGGAATGGGCATAACTGGAAGAGGGAAGAGTGTATGTAAGTGCAAGAGTGATTATAATGTGTGTGGGAAGAAGAAACTAGGAAAGTATGTCTCGAGCATGAAATACCACATAGATGGTCACAAGACATGAAGCTGGAGAAGTAGGTAGGGATCAATATATTAAATGCGTCCTATGTGTGATAATGAAAACATTTCCATGTTTATTCAAAAGCAATTGGAGTGTCACTAAGGAATTTGTGAGGAAGTTATATCACTTTTTAATTTCCACAGACACTATTCTGAAGAAACTGTGCTGAATCAAAGGACTACAGTCAATGGATCACCCAAATACTAAACTTTGTTTCCTTTCAGGTGGGGAAAAAAGTCTTTGTGCAGTGAGTTCCTAGTTAAATAGAGATCTGGAACCAACAAGGGAGAGACTATCGGTCTATGTTCACTGACAAAGGAGCTGGGAATGACATGAATAGTGACATTCAAATATTTCCTCAGGTGAGAGAGGCTTAGGGGTGGGAGTTCCTTTGATTCTGGGAGACATTCATAATAAACAAAGAAACAACAATAAAAAATTTTGATGCAAATGTGTGCTTCACATTAGAAGATGACTCCATATTAACCAAAGTTATTTTATGAGTTCACTCACAGGGAAGACTGATTTACTATCTTATCTTGGTCTCTTGTCTGATGTCATAGTCATGTTCATTGTTTGTGGTATTGTCACAGAAGACTTCAATACCTCTCAGGGCTCTTAGTCATGCTGGAGGAAAACATCACTCTGGTCAGCGAGTTCATCCTGGTGGGCTTCCCCACTGCCCCATGGCTTCAAGTCCTGCTCTTCTTCCTCTTCCTTGTGGTCTATCTGCTGGTGGCAGTGGAGAATCTTGTCATCATGCTTGCGGTTTGGGTCACTGGCTCCCTCCATAAGCCCATGTACTATTTCCTGAGTAGCTTGTCTTTCCTGGAGGTCTGGTATGTCTCCGTCACAGTCCCCAAGATGCTAGATGGATTCCTCCTGCAGAGACGGCACATTTCCTTCACAGGTTGCATGACCCAGCTCTACTTCTTCATTTCGCTTGCCTGCACAGAATGTGTGCTTCTAGCAGCCATGGCCTATGACCGCTATGTGGCCATCTGCCACCCTCTCCGGTACCCAGTCATCATGACCACAGGTTATTGTGCACAGCTGGTGACTTCCTCCTATATGACTGGTTTCATGGTCTCTGTCATCAAGGTCTGTTTCATTTCACATGTCACCTTTTGTGGTTCCAATGTCATGAACCACTTTTTCTGTGACATCTCACCAATCCTGAAACTGGCCTGCAAAGACATGTCCACAGCTGAGCTAGTGGACTTTGCCTTAGCTATTTTCATCCTTGTCTTCCCTCTTACCACCACCGTCCTTTCCTATGTCTACATTGTCTCTACAATTCTGCGTATACCCTCCACCCAAGGAAGGAAGAAAGCCTTCTCTACCTGTGCATCCCACCTCACTGTAGTCATAATTTATTACACAGCCATGATTTTCATGTATGTTCGGCCCAGAGCTATTGCATCATTTAATTCCAACAAACTAATCTCAGCTGTGTATGCAGTCCTCACACCCATGCTAAATCCCTTCATCTACTGCCTTAGGAACCAGGAAGTCAAGAATGCTATCAAAAAGACTGTGGGATTTAGGGGCTGGCCCCGTGGCTGAGTGGTTAAGTTCGCGCGCTCCGCTGCAGGCGGCCCAGTGTTTCGTTAGTTCGAATCCTGGGCGCGGACATGGCACTGCTCATCAAACCACGCTGAGGCAGCGTCCCACATGCCACAACTAGAAGGACCCACAACGAAGAATACACAACTATGTACTGGGGGGCTTTGGGGAGAAAAAGGAAAAAATAAATCTTTATTAAAAAAAAAAAGAAAAGACTGTGGGATTTGGTCAGTGCGTCCTGCTTAGCTGAGCTCCACTGCCTTGAGGAGTCAGTGTCCTGGAAAGCATGTCATCCCATACACTTATCATGGTTTTGCATATTTGCTTGCTCTATAGATCTAGATTCTTAAAGAAATTATATCATAGAAAGAAAAAAAATTAAAAATATTAACAGGATACATTATATATTGCTTTAATCTTGAATTAATTTTAATACACACTCTATACATTTAATAATTATTTTGAAATGACAGAGTAATAAATATTTAACATATATAAGTTGGTGTTACCGGCTCTTAGTTAATATCAGCCCTGATATTGGTTCCCCTACAGTGAACCTGGCATGTATGGGATTAAAGCTAAAACCCTGCACTCCTGGTTTCCTGGGTCTTTAGTTACACTCATTTGTAAGTGTTTGTTTCTTTAACCTCTAACTCCCTGAGCTTTACAACCAAATAGAAGTTACAAATTGTTAAAGCCCAGATGGCCTCAAACTGGGCTCCTGCTAAAGTTGTAGCTAGTCCCAGGACCTTGAAGTTCTTTTACAGGGAAATTAATGTCCAGAGAATATCAAGAAACTGAAGCTTCCCAGGCCCACCTCCTTGGCTTCCTGACGTCAGAGTCTACCTTCCACCATGGAGATAAACAGCCATGGACACTCATCTGAGAAATCCTTTGTCTCCTCCACTGGAAGCAGCCCCAGACACAGGCCAATGGGAAAATGCTGACGAAGAAGTCCATGGTCCCCTTCTACTACCAAAAACCTCAAATAAAAACACTTACCTATTTCTTAACAGGGAGCAAGCAACTTTTGGGGCACTAGCCCTTGCTTTGCTCCCTCTGCCTAGCAAAGTAAAGCTTTCCTTTTTCTCCCAAGATTCTGTTCTCGTTATTTGGATTGACATCGGGATCAGAGACCAAACTTTTGGTAACACTGGTGTTATGAGTACTTTACACATAATGGACTATTTTATTCTTGTAACACCTCTACGAGTTAATTATCATTACTTATCTGATTTTACAGATCAGGAAACTGAAGCACACAGAGAGATGTTAAATATGTTTTCCAAGATTGCACACTTAGTAAATATCAAAGCTTTTATTTGAAGCCAGGGGCTCCAGCTCTATAATCAACTGTATTCGATTTTCTCTGTATCTAACAGTCTGTGATAGTGGTTCTAGGGTCCCATGAGTTAAAAAACATTGATGCCTGGATGGAATAAGCAATATAGTCAGTAAAATCTGTGTAGTTGTGATGATAAGTGATAGTGGTGTGGTAGTGATGGTAGTGAGAAAGCTGTTTGTGATTCCATTGGGTTAGTGATGATGGGCTACCATTGATATTAATCTTGTAGATCATTTTGCAATCTTCTTCCAATTTTAGCCTCCTTCCAGGACTATAACAGCTCATTTATCATTACAAGGATGGGATCAGTAGTTTCACAAGAGATGAAAAAATTGGTATTACTGCAACTTTTGCTGTTGATACATATCTCTTGAGACTTTTGGCTCTTGAAATCTTGTGGCCATCCATGCTATATGTGACAATTATCGCCAAGCTGATGGAGTACTATTTCATCAATATATGTTTGAGCTGAAATCTTCAACACATCAATATAACAAACGTTCAACATACAAATAAGGTGAAAAACAAATACAAAATTTCTAAGATAAGTGAGATTGTTAGATGCATTGGGGCATCTGCTGACTAGGTAAGGAAATGTGGTATACCAGGGAGAATTCCACAAAACTGATAAAACTGAGACCAAAATATGAAAGAAATAATCAGAAAGAGCTATCTTGGCTCTATATCCCATCCATTTGAAATGGGAGTCTCAAGCTGGTCTCCAATTTTGGCCTAAGCCACCCTCAACATTATTCAACAATCCTGTACTAATCTTCCCTATATGTTGCTTTTAGAATGTTACCTACCCTACTACTTCAGAATTCTCAACTCGAATGAAATAAGACCCACTCATTTTATTTATTATTATTATTATTTTGGAATAGTTCTAGCATTTGTGAATCTCAATAATACCTGAACTTTTCCCCACCTACACCAGTTCAACCTTGCTTTATACTGATCCCCAATATGAAACATATATTCTGATATTATCAGCTTAATGTGCTCAATAATTACAATATACTAATTCTCCTGCTTAATTTCATTCATTCGTTCATTCGTTCATTCATTCAGTATTTCTTGTGCCCCTATTCCTTGCCAAGCACTCTAATAACCTATGAAGATGTAATGGTCAACAACAACAAAAATAGACACAGATTCTTCTTTCAAATAGCTATAATGAATAGGGAAGATAAAGGCATAATTACCTTCAGTGTTATGTGATGATGCAAGTACAGGGTAATGGAAGCAAATGGTAGGTGGATCTATGGTGAGCAGAGAAAATGTTCCAGCGGAAGCAGCTTTTAGGCTAACACTTAAAAGAATTAGACAGATGTAAAATGGTGGGGAGTAGCGAAGGTCAGGGATTGCAGAGACAAAAAAGGCCAACAATCAAGAGAAATAACAGCACATCCAAAGAACTGAACAATGATTAGCAAAAAGTGACATGAGGAAGAGAGGGGTCACGTGAGGAAGTAGACTCATGTTTACCAAAACAAATCTTACCAGTTTGTGAATTTTCTCTTACTACATAGGTTTATGGATATATAATAAGTTCTACAGAGGAATTTTCAGTTTCTGCAAGTACTAGCTCTTTAGCTTTAGTATGTCTACCAAGTGAATGGTAGTCACTGATAGAGTGGAGCAAGAAAAAAGTGAGTTGGCTTTGAATATTTGGCCTCCTCTGCTATACCTTTTCATTCTGAATGACAGACGTCAGTTTGTGTTTGACTCCTCACTACTCTCGAGGGCAGAAAGTAACAGTATTCTTCCTTGAGTCTACAATATCGGCCACCCCTGACACTGTAGGCACTTGTACTGTTTATTGATTCCCATCCTCCAGTTATCTATTCTTTCCACTCCTTTTCCCCTTTGTGTACCCTATCTCCCAGGGGCTGAGAGGAATTGATCCTGTGGGCTGTATCACTCTGGCTCTGTTAACCTCTGGCTTCCAATTTGGTTGGGTGAATGGGAGGCATCAGCAGAAAACTGAAGGATGCCAGAAAAGAGATGACAAAGGATTTTCCCCTACTTCCAGTGGGTTCCATGGCTCTGGCAATGACTACAACGCATGCAACAGGGGCACCCCTTCCAAGTCTGCAGCCATCACTGCTTTCTGCACTGCTACTTCTTACATGACTCAGCATCCCTTCTGTTGTCTTCACCTTGCCCAAACTTAGAGAATAGTTGTGAAAATTAATTCTAATCAATAATTTCAGCAGAAACTGCTTTCTGTTTCTTCCTGGGATTTTGACTGATATGGCATTAAACAAATATTAGTCAAATTGAAATAAATCTCATTGAGAATGCTTGCAATAAATATACTACTTTAAAACATATGTGTGTTTATATTTTGAAATCAGTAATATAACATAAGCAAACCTCACTTTTTATCTGCTATATGACAGAACTTGAATTAAAATAGAAAACCGTTTGTTCTACATTTAATTTTTCAAGTATCTCTCTGTAAAAAAACTTTGACCTTTCTTCCATCCCAGTGATACCGCTGCCAAATTGAATTGATTCTGAGATGTCTGAGTTAAAACATACAGCAAATTTAAACCCAGGTCTTGAATATACTATGCCTAGCTTCTCGGCCAATGACTGGAAGACTGTATCTGCCACTAGGAAGCAGTCATTTCCGCTCAGAACCAGTCCAAGTAAGTTTACTTCACATAACTACCCCTTTACTTTTCCCTTTTAGTTCCGCTGCTTCTCTTATCAAAGTAAATCAGACTATATTTTATTATCTGTAGAAGAATTTCCCCAATATATTTTCAAATGTGCGTCTAACTCTCTCACTGAGGTTTACTATCTTTTAATAAATAACATAATCAGTCTTTTTTTAAAGTTATTTTATTGAGGTCATATTCGTTTAAAAAATTGTGTAATTTCAGGTGTACACTATTATATATCAGTTTCTGTATAGACTGCATCATGCTCATCACCAATAGTCTAGTTTTCATCCATCACCATACATATGTGCCCCTTTACCCCTTCGACCCACCCCTCACCTCCTTCTCCTCTGGTAACCACTAATCTGTTCTTATCCATGTATTTATCTTCCACATATGAGTGAAATCATATGGTGTTTGTCTTTCTCTGGCTTATTTTGCTTACACAATATCCTCAAGTTCCATCCATGTTGTTGCAAATGGGACAATTTTCTCATTTTTATGGCTCAGTAGTATTCCATTGAATATACACACCACATCTTTCTCCATTTATCAGTCGATGGGCGCTTGGATTGCTTACACCTCTTGGCTACTGTGAAAAACAGTGCAATGAATATAGGGGTACATAGATCTCTTTGTGTTGCTGATTTCCTGTTCTTTGGATAAGTACCCAGTAGTTGGATGACTGGATCATATGGTATTCCTATTTTTAAGTTTTTGGGAAAACTCAATACTGTTTTCCATAGTAGCTGCAACAGTTTGCATTCCCACTAATAGTTTATGAGGGTTCCCTTTTCTCTACATCCTCTCTAACATTTGCTATTTTTTGTCTTATTAATTATAGCCCTCTGATGGGTGTAAAGTGATATCTCACTGTAGTTTGGATTTGCATATCTCCAATAATTAGTGATGTTGAACATCTTTTCATGTGCCTGTTGCTCATCTGTATATCTTCTTGGAAAAATATTTGTTCATATCCTCTGTCCATTTTTTGATTGGGTTATTTGTTTTACTGTTGTTGAGTTG